TATTTTTTAAATATCTTTCATTCGTTCAAAGTATGTGAATCAAAAATTTCATTAGAGTAAATTATAAAGGTTTATTTTATGTTGAAGTGTTTTTCAAAAAGATATGTTATATTTTTTACACCTGTATTATTTATTGTTAACAGACATTTCTATCTGATTTATTATTTATTAATTAATACACGATATTCTTACTCTTATTTAATGTTTTTATTTATTATGCTGTTATTTCATTTTTTAGTAAGGAACTATTTGTTGTATCGGGAATAGTAATCTCTTGTCTACACTGCATTACTTATAACTGATGTAAAATACATAAAGATATAAAATGAATTCACCTGTCTAAAGCCTTAGATTTTAAAGAAAAAAGTAGTATTTAAAGAGTTTCACATCAAGTTATATACAGGATGTTCCGCAAGGAAGAGATAATATTTTTATGGCGTGTTGTAGAGATTCAAAAATGTTTTATATACCTAACCCTTAAAATGTATTGTTTCAGCGCTTGAAGGAGTTAAAGTTCAGACAAGCTACCCTACTGCTAAGCGCTGCGAAAAAGCCTCAAATATTTTGCCCTTTCTCTTCTGTGCTGTATTAAAGTGCCAAGAAATTAAAGCAAACCTTACGTTTTTGCAAAAACGTAAGAAGATGAGATAAAAAACTGAAGGATAGCGAAATTTAGGCTATTCCGTAACGCTTACCAATGCACGAAATGCATGAGAAACAAGCGCATTTCAGCTACAGCAAGACCAAAACGTTTTGAGATTTGGTATACCAAAATAAAGCTAACTTTTCATGTTAATTTATTTAATGTTGCTTTTTACCCTTTAGAGTCAAATATTCTTTGTACGTTATGCTAAATCTTCTTAAAATAGATTCTCTGCCGTTATTCTTGCGCTTGCGAGAGAGAGAGACAGAGGAAAATTTACTTATTTATTGCCATGGAGTTACAACGGGATTTAAACAGGATCTCGTTTGAATGAATTTATTTATTTTACTGTAAACATCTCAGTGAAACTAATGCACCATATGCGCATACTCGTGCAATGGTGGAAAGATTTCTTTTATGCCTGGATATATTTACTTTTATAGGAAACTGGAATGGTAGGATTCAGTCTTGGTAGAATTTTACCAGTTATGATTTTGTCTGGTAGAATATTACCAAGTCTTTCCGAGAGGACCGTGATTGGGGATTGTTAAGTCAGTGACCAACCTAAGACGGGTTGATAAGTGTAGTGGACTGGAAGTTAGTAAGACGTGATTTAATTTATAAAGTTGGAAGAATAAAGAATTTTATCCAAAGACTTTCTGTATCAAAAGACTTTCATCACAAAGATATTTAATAATTTAAAAATAATTTAAAAATACATTTCCTGTATAACACAGAATGTCTAGTCAGGCAATCAAATAAGAACATTCATCAAATCTAAATCCTAATGAAAAAATCAAAGTTTATGCATTACAGATTATGTAAAAATGATATCAAATAATAAAACGATATTTGATTTTCTTCGTTATGGCGAAAAGAAATAAACAAATAAAAGATTTTTATTATAGATTGAGCAAAAAAAATTGTTTTGAAACTAAATTGGAATAGAGAAAAGGTTACTATTTTCTGGTGACAGTTTTCACATGAGAATATTCTCTTTATCCTCAGAAAACCACATAAGAAGTAAATTGAAAGATTTTTATCCTTTTTAAAACTTTAATTGATTCTCAGTTTTCGAAACCACCTAGGAAGAATCGAATGGAGAAAAATATATAATGAATAGAAAAGAAAGTTTTAATAGGAAAAAAAAATCTAATATAAATTATTACACGGTACAATTGTCTGTATAATATAAACTTGGCATAATTAGAGTTTATTAAAATATTTCTAAAGTTAATTAAAATTTAGTTTTAAAGACTATCGATTTCTAGAAGTTGATAAAACATGATTATTGATTTAGAAGTTAGTAAAACATGATGAAAAATTATATTAGAATTAAAAATTTTATTTTTTTCAATTGATTTAGAAATATATCCGAATAAATTATATGAATTTTTTTATTTCGGTTTGTACAGTACGTAAAAGTTTACATTACATCTCTTCTTTTCCTACAGATTTCTATTTTTATAAAATCAGCTTTATCATTATTACAGTTTCAACGGACATACAGAAAATTACAGTAAAAAATTCGTTATTTCGAATATTAATATTTCAAACTTAAAACTTCAATATAACAACAACAATCGTAATAAATTTATTACGATTCTTAATTTATTATTATGAATCTTTAAAAATCATAAAAAAAACAGTTTAATTATAGAAGGAATAGAAAAATGAATGTAGAAAGATGAAATAAATAAAACTACAGAACATACAACTGTAGTTAAGTTATAAGAGATCCATTGCATGTATTAACAAGAAATTTTCTGAAAGCTTAATTAAAATTTATATTTATTAATAGAACAAACGTCAATTATCTTTCTTTTGAAGCTTATCTGAATTGCTTTTGAAATAATATAAAAATAAAATATATTTATGTATATATTAATGAGGATAATATGGATCATCTACTTACATAGGACTTGATTTGAAGGAACTATCTTGTTTCGTGATCGAATTGAGTAAGAAATAAGCCTGGTTTGCATATAAGTTATAAGAATTTGATGGTCAATGTTAAATTTATCTTTGTTACATAAATATAAAAAAAAGCGCATTTATAATTGATAGATCTCATTAACTTTAAATGTATAAACATACTAAAAGTGCACTGTAATTATTTCATTTTAAATATGGAAACACCATTTCATATAATAATAATAGAAATCTTAGTTATCATTTAAGTTTACCGTGAAAATTTCTGAAAAGACTTTTATTATTCGCAAACTAGCAGATGAGCCCGGCGCTGCCTGGGCAAAAAATAACAGCAACAAAGATTACGATTATTAGATTATTTCGTACTTCTAACCCTTATATTACATTATATTATAATATTTTATTTATAAAACTACGAAGATTTATCATATCGAGTGACCAATCTAACACATTTTAAATATTGTTTAAATTGTGTATAGTATAAGAATAAAGAATTCTAGTGTAATCAGCCAACCAATAAAATTTCGCAAAATACGAACCAAATATTTAAACTCAACACTCTCGAAAGCCACTTAAATCATATTTTGTGCAGGTTAGTAACCTGATATTATGTAATTTTTCTATTCGAATGCCAATACCCGTGGGTCCGATAGGAAGAAGAGGTTGAAGTTAATTCGACCAAAAGTAATAATTGTTCTCCTCCCGGGAGAGAAATTGGTCAACGACTGCTACTTAATACTGTACTGGTCTACTATTAATTAATATTTGAAAAGTGATCCGTGTTGGAAAGGTTGTGATGGCCCTGCACGTGATGAAAGTTGCTAACCTTACATCCGAAAGACTTGATGATATAAGAATTGTTAAAAGAGAAAAAGTAAAGCTCAGCAAGTAATGGAAACTTCTGAACTACTGGTAGTTTCATAAGAATAGTTGATGCAGATTTCACAGTAAGTCTCAACATGTGAGTAAAGGTCACATTATACAGAGTATAACTACAGGAAATTTTGAATGAAACAATGTCGCTTTGATAACAAATAGGAAAAATAAACATTGGCACAGAAAAAGACTTCAAGCTTTACTTTGTGGCTTAAGATCGTTGCACTTATATTAATTTGGCTGAACGTTAAAACATCTTTCAGTAGTATCAGTAGGAAGTTTGGGCAATGGTTTATGAGTTAGTAAGGAGAGATAAAATCAGGGGAAGAGAGGGATGTCCAGGTTTCCTGATAGTTAAGCATGTCTTCGTAAATATCGCGTTTATAAAAAATTATTAAAATTAGTTCGGTTTATTTGGATATGACAACGCGACACCTGAGCGATCTGCCTAGGAGGATGCATCCCGGAAAGACTTATATAAAGCTGGCCCCAATTTAAGTGTTACTAACGCGAAGAAAACCCAGAAAACTCCACGTGTGCAGTCCATTGGCCATTCATTACCGGGTGGCCATGTATTACCATGACCGATTACCGGGTGATCAGTGATTTTGTTCACTTGGTTACTTAAGGGCATTTATTGGGCTGCAATTTGAAAGAATTGTAGACCTATAAATTCCCACTGTCGTCCGCCCGTCTCTGACCTTTCTTAATCTTCAGAACGGAGTTATAGATGAAAGTCGAGACCAGACATGGAAATCGTAAGAGAAATGGACCTGATTACCTATATATGAACTTCTCACTGTAAGTCACGTTATTTCAATACAAAAATTTTCCCCGGAACGGAGTTAGATATATAACTGGCACGACTCTATTGCTACCAGGAAAAGTATGATTTACAGGGTCAAAACACTACTACACTCTACGTAGAAAGTGCTATTTGCTACCTGTCGCAGTAATGGCGTAATGGCGCATCTATTTCATGTTATATCATTGTCAAAGTAATTCGGTGAATATAGTATATATTTTTTAAAATTATATCATTTTTTGTAAGAATTATATTTAGTTCATTATTTTGTTAACTTTTTTGCCAATAGATGGCGCTACGTGTAACTCAGAAAATTGAATGTAAATAAAAATTAATTGATTTATAGAAATTCAATCGGTATTTTCAGGTGGAATGTACCACATGATCTAAGTTAAAAGTATTTGAACGTAACTACTGAGTTTCATAGCAATTGGCCAAACAGCCTAGGAGTGTATAGCGAATAAACAAACAAACATTCTCATTTATATAAATTGTTTATCAATATGTTGTGATTCTCTGTCGTTTGATGGCAAAAATCTTCAAAATTACACATATTAACAGAAAATTGAAAAGTATATATTATATTAAGATAGATATATTTATTAAAAACGGTTTTAAAAAATTTTAAATAAATTAAAATTAATGATTTTCCATAAATATTTAATAACAGTTAATATTTCAGATATTTCAGATGATATCACAATAGTTTAAGTTTAAGAATATATAAATTATCCAAAATCAAACCTGCAGTTGTCTTCATCAACAAAAACTACAACTCCTCTTGCTTTTGGTTTTGAACTCAAATGTTCAATAATTTTATCAAAATCTTCAGGTTTTGTATTTCGAGTAATTTTCTCCGATACTGCTATGCATATTCCTACAAGAAATTATATTATGATTAATACATTTTTAAGAAAAATTCCATTTTGTATTTATAATTTTGACTTCTAATATTAAATTTTATTTCCAGTTTGTAAAATTCCTTTAAAAGTTTTCCAAACTAATCCCAGTCTAATATATATTCGTAATAAAATTAATACTACTAACAAATATCAAAAATTCAATATCAAAAGTAGAATTAAAAATAAAAAAGAACCCTAATTACAATATTCAATATTCATCTGAAATTACTTTCATCTAGAACAGCGTTTCTCAAAGTGGGCGATAATGCCCCCTTGTGGGCGCTGGAGGCTTTCAGGGGGGCAGTAGAAGGCTCAAAGAGAATTGGGGGGCGTTAAGGAAATATAGAGGGGCGACGGCAGACAAATTCTATATATAAAAATTCGACGGAATATATATAAAATGTTGACATTTTATATATTTTTTATTTTTTATTGAAGGTCACAACTTGAATATTTCTAACACATTGACTTTTATTTTAGCTCAGCGTTTCTCAAAGTAAGCAATAACGCCCCCTTCTGGCGCGATGAATAGATCTATGATAGAGGCAGGGTATTGAACGGTGACCAAAGGCAAAATTGGGGCTGATAAGAGGAAACATTGCGTTTAATGGTTTCCAGATGATGAGAACAATGTACAGTAAGGGCACAAAGTGTGAGATTCATAGAAAAGTTTTCCTAAGAATATTTCCAATCCTTTTCTCACACAAGAGAAAATGGGTTAGGGGGCGTTGGGTATAACTTTATGGAACAAAGTTATACCCAACTTGGTGGATCGAAAAAGTTTGAGAATCACTGATCTAGAATATTAATAAAATTTTAAAATTATACTAAAACATATTTTGTGTAGACTATGATAAGTTCATAAGTATTTATATTTCTAACCATTAACGAGCAATTATTTATTGTGACATCATCACAATGCCGGGCTACAACTTTTTATTATAATTTTTTAATTTATTTAATTTAAAATACATAATCTCCACCTCAAATTAGTATTGTCTTGCCCCTGTACAGTACATAATGCATTCCCTGTTAGCAACAATCATGCAGTCATTTATCTAAATCCTTTCAGGGGAAAATGCTTCAATTGATATAACGTAACTTCCAGTTTGCATCGGAAATTCGTATATAGCGAATCCGGGCCTCCATGCCTAAGCTTTCCATATCTGGTCTTGATTTTCATCTATGTAACTCCGTTCTCGAGATTAAGGAAGGATAACAGACAGATGACAATGGGAATTTATAGGTCTACAATTTTTTCAAATTGCAGCCTAATTAATAAATTTAAACCGCGTAGAATAAACTACATCTTATTGTATTCCTGGCACAAATTCCCTATACAATTATTTTCCAGTATGTTATAACATAACACGGGTAAGTATTGTAACCGTCTCATATTTGACCCGCCGCAAATCTCTGAACTCAAAAATCGAAAAAACGGAAAAGTTTATTGTGTGTTGACATCTATTTCGTTTAACATCTTAGAAGGGGGTAAATATAAACGAAATTTGGCATGGTAACTTCTATATAAAAGGCATTGATGCTACTATGAAACTCAAGGGATGGAGAGATAGAGGGGATTCATATATCATATTTCGAATGAGGTCGAACTTAATAAAAATTTTCCTCGTTATTGGCATTTACAATACTTTTAGAAACTTGTCATTAATCAAGTTTAACTGTTTTTTTAAATAATTAATAATATGACTGTTATTTTTTAAAGAACATAACAGATGGTGCTACGAACAATTTTAACTTTGAGCTAATGTCATAGTATTTTTTTAAACTTATAATTAAAAAATCTCCATTTAAAAACAATATTTAATTCAACAGAATTACTCCTATTACGCTTTTTTATTACTTAAATTGTATATTGTAGTATAATTGAAAATTATCGGATTTCCTAATGATCCTCTTAACCTGCTGTTTGAATGCCGGAAAGTCAGCTTTTTCCATTATAAATGACAATTTTCCTAATTAAGTTATTCTCTTTTCTTATGATAATTTGCATCAAAAACGACATTTGTGTTTATAAATGTATTTTTAGAAATTTATTGTTATCATTCAATACAGGAATTTAAAATAAAAAGTTTTAAGAGTTAATAATAATTTAATAACCAGAACATTAAATAACATTAAATTAATATAAATAGCAATTAAAAATTAATTATTGCTTTTATGATTTATTTAATACATTAAAGGAGTAATAAATAATTTTAATGATGATCTGTTATAATTTAACAATTTTTATTTTAAAAAGTTTTTAATACTGTATAAATATGAAAATTGTCCTAATCTAGAAAATATAAAAAGTGGATCTCGCTTTGTAAATTAATAATTGAAAAGAAAAACTAATATACGCGGTGTCCCAAATTCGTTTTAGGGATCAATAACTTCATGTTATGCAATTACTGGGAAAGCAAATTTAGCAAAGGGAATGTCTATAGCTAAGTCGAAGTAGAATCTATAGTATTTATACCTAATTGTCTCGAATTAATTTTCAAGATCTACCAATCTTTAATCTTTTAACTGTTGAAGCTTGCAAAATATCCAAATTACAGACCGAAATATTAAAAAAAAATGATAAATCTCTCGTTTACAAATTTATAAATGAAAACTGCCGAGTAAGACATTATATTTGTTCTTCGACATAAACATGAAATTTGTCAAGAGCTGATTTATAGTGAAATATAATTACTGTATATAAATCTAAAATATGTTTTAAATAGAAAAATATCGTAATCATAAACCATGTGAGAAAAGCATCATTTATTTGAAAATTATTATTAATATTATGTAATAATAATAGTATTATCTTAGATTTTATTCATTTTATTTTTCGGCTGTTATATAACGGAGGGAAAGTTTGGCCATCTGTCAAAAAATAATCTCAAGATTTTTACATTTTCGAAATTGGGAGACCTTGAAATGTCGAGAAATGCAAAAGAGTTGGGGATTTTTTCTGTGTGTACGGATGTTAGGTGTGTATGTGTATGGGGAACTGCATGATTTTTTCATCTATTTTAAAGCTTAGTAACTCCTGTGCCTTTTGTCGTAAATTTCTTAAATTTTTTCAGGGAGGTTTGTGTATTAGAGAAATGCTTTTAGAAATTTTCTGGAAAATCACACCATAGGTTCGGGAGATATTAAAAGGTGGAAACATATCTCAAAAAAACTTCCAAGTTGTGAAAGGTTTTTTTTTACTCATACAAATTTTTAGTACCAAAAATAAATATATCTGTTTCGAATTTTTTTTAGAAATCATCCCAATATTAATGTTTTTCGACATTTTCTTTTGTAACTTTAGATAAAAATAAATTAATTGAGTTATAAAATTTTCAGATTAAAAATGAATAAAACAGTTTTATGAAATTGATATTTTCCCAACCCCTGCGTTGTGAAAATATCAATTTCATAAAACTATATCTAGGTAGTTCCAGATAAAAATATCAAAAAACAATTTTTTAATTAAATTCTTTGAGATAAATATTTTTTTATGTTATCGAAATTACACCAAAAGAAATTTATATGTCGAAGAAGTCAAATAGTTAAATGATCCCCGTTTTACGAGTTAATCATTTGTATTAGTAAGACTTAAATGTAATGGTAGCGATTATTAGAAATGAAAAGAAATGAATGCAAAAAAGTCCAGCAATAATTTCTATTAAATATAAGTTTTACTATAGCAATAGATCGAGCGAAGAATACTTAATTTAAGTATTATTTTAAATTATATATTATATAAGTATTATATATTTTATCTCTTATATCTATTATACATATATGTTAATTATAATTAAAAATTTTTTTCAATATTGAATAAATTTGTTATGCGAATTGATAGGTGTATATATACAAGAAGACTTCCTTTCTATTATTAAACAATGTTTATTTTAATTAAAAAAATTGAGAGAAAACTATTCCCTAATTAATAACATACTTTATAAGTATTATTTTTCTATTAAAAGTTTTAAATATTTTATAAATCAGTTTAAAATTTTAATAGAAAAATAATTATTATAGAGGCGTTATTTAATAGCATTTGCTCAATATTGTATATTCGAAAATATAATTTAATACTAATGTTTTCCCATCAACGGCTATATAAAAATAAAGGCGATAAAGTAATTATATCTCTGGCTTTTAAAAATTGTAATAATGTTTTTGAGTTAAATTAACATTAGATAAATGAGATGGTAAAACTTAATTTAGTTCCAGAATGATAATCACATATTCAATTTATTAGATTCAAAGTAAAATTAATGAAAATAAAATTGCTAGACACTTCATATCTTCATTAATATCTTTAGTTTATGGAACTAATTTTATTTTAATATGAGATTAAGATATTACACGAATATGAATAAAAATACGAATATAAATTTTAATTTATATACTGAGAATATTAGCTTGGTGTTTTGTAAACACAGTAAAAACATGTCTAAACGGAACCTGAGTAAAACAGAAATATGTTGGATGGAAAAATTCTATTCCCGTTTATACAGATTTTACTGCATTTTTAAATTCAAAATTGTTTGCATAAATTTAAAAAATGACGAAAATAAAAAGAAGAAGATATACTTTATAGACTTGCTTACTTCCTTTCAAAACCTTCAAATCGGATATTTCTAGAATAAATAAAATTGTATTTTTAAAAGCGATTTCACTTTTAATTAAATGACTTCACGAAGAAGTTTCGAAATTAATACTAATTTAAAATTTTAAAGTTAATTTTAAACGATAGCAGGAAATTAATAAATGAATAACACGAGAACATTAAAAATTGTTATTTATGCGATTAAGAGAAAGCAATAAATACAAGAATTAGAAGCAAGTTAAGTCTTTTGTTCTTAAGCTGAAGAAATAATTATATATTTGTTATTTATAAGGAAAAATAAATCTGAGAAGGGAGAATATACTGGAAAAATATTATACAGTGTGGATGGAAATCTTATAGAAGAAGACTTCGCTGTAC